GAAGGGAAGGGAAGGGAAGGGAAGGGAAGGGAAGGGAAGGGAAGGGAAGGGAAGGGACTGTATTTAATAATATGTAGCTTATGCTTACAGGTTTTATGTAATTATATGTCATCACCCTGCTGCACTCAAGTTGTATTCCATGTTGATGGTCTTATAAATATTGAAGTAAAAAGATTTAAGGTTTTTCTTCATGTGAATGAGGTAGGATAATGGGAGTGCTGAGAGGTTCAAATTTACAGGAAGAGGCCTATCCGCCTCATGTTTGGCAATAATTTGCACAGAATAAGACCTATCATGTATGTTTGTTTGTTTCTTTTTTTGTTTTCACTTTATTTTATTGTTATGTCTAGGAGACTGGACATTTTTTGGCATAGACAATCCTCCCTGTATAGGCAGATGAAAAAGTGGGAAGCATGTAGCCATTCTGGGTCAGTTTAGACAATCCATCCAGACCTGGAGACTCTAATGTTAATCCCTTGGACATGACAACACCATTTGGTTCAAGGTGCTTTACTACCACAAGTGAATCTATCATGTGCTAATAGCATATAGCACAAGAGTATGAGCAGGAAAGCTGAAGCAGCACAATCCTACAAGACCTGTCTCCTTCCTTACATGATCCTGACTGAAGCACAGTTCTCTCTCCTCCCTCAGTGTACTGAAATCCCACCATATCTACCCAAATCAACTGTGTGCTTCTCCTACTGGAAAATACTGGGAGCTAAGTTTAGGATAAATCAAATTTATTTGTGCTTCTGGCCTATTAATTTTCTACCTGTGGCCCTACATTAACATTTCCTGATGAATCATCATCTTTAGCTAGTGGGAATATTCCTGTGATCTCAGAGTATCTAAGTTCCCTACCTCACCTAAATTTATTCACCTAATGACTGTGTCTGATGTCCTAAGATGATTCCTTCTTGTCTAGGCAGATGCCAGCTATTAGACAAGATAATGAAAGAGTAAAACACTTGGTTATTCCTGTAAAAATTATACATCAGATGTCGTGATGTGACCTCCTTTGTGAGACTTTCTGAGGGAAGAATACATAAGGTAAATACTCCAGCCCTAAATCAAGCACCTTCACACTGAGGTTGAGAATCTCTGTCCTGCCCTCCTCCTCTGGATGCTGGTAGCACAGCTGACATTGTGGGGAAGCTCCTGAGCCCTGCTGTGCTGACTTTGATCAATGCTGCACTCAGCACACTGCAAGTCCATCTGCACATGTTGCTCTCCCTGTGTCCCTCCTGTTGTGTAGGGATCAGCTGACATGAGTCACACATGGGTTTGGTTTATCAGAGTCTGAAAGTCACAGATTAGGGCAAACCTATAAAGAAAGTGAAACCTGGATGAGATCTTTAACCAAAGTAGAAGTGAAAAGTGTCTTTAGAAACCCAGTTTTAACTGGAGCACAGGAGATGCATGTTCACCCTGCCATTTGGCTGCAGACTTCTGTTAGCTTTAAGGGGAAATGTAAGCTTCAGGCTTGCTCAGCCCTGCAGGAAAGAACAGGCTTTTACAAAGTAATCCATCTTTAGAGACAACGTTATGGGTTCAGAACTTAATCAATATCAGGAGGTTTAACAGGCAGGTGTGACATCTTCCCTCTGTTACACATGTTTAACACTCTATGTGGACATTCTTATTCCAGAGGCAGATTTCTTCTTCAGGATTTTATCAGTGTGTTTTTCAACTCAAATATCAGATATTGTTTCATATCTGGAAAATGTTCTAATTTTTTTGTGGGGAGAGTAACATGCAACAATTCATTCTTGTATATTTAGTCTCAGTCTGTGAGTTGCTAAAAAGTAGAGATTGCCTCTGCTTGTGTGTTTCATGCTAAATTTGGCCACTGAAACTCTGGTATTGGGAGGATATGTAGAAGTTGCTGTAATAAAAGAGCAGCACAAAAAGCTCAGACATAGACACTTGAACAGAACCTAGGTCACCTGTGTGGAAAGATGAATATTGCTTTCAGCACTAGGTATCCTCTATCACTGGGATTTTTCATCTAGCAAGAACGTTACAGATAAAATGGAGCACAGAGCCCACATGTAGAGGTCTCCATCCATGGGGCTAGCTCTGGTCTTTGACATGGAATTCCCCAAGCATTGCCCAAATGAGAACCAGCCCATGCTTTGATAAGGATGGGAGAAAAGTTGGTGGTGCAGATGATGTTTGGCAGAATTTGTTCTTGTCACTGCAACATAGCTGCACTGGTTCTGCTCACAGCAGAAATAAGAGCTGTCTTCAGCATCCACAAGCTGGTTGGTCCTGGTCCAACAGACTGAGGATAAATGAAAAGAATCTGTTTGTGTTCCTCCTTATGTTACCCTTTGAAAATTGCTCTGTTTCCCTCTGCCCTTAAATCAGCTGTAAAATGAGATAATATTTACTGGTCTGTCTAGAACATGTGAGATTTGCAAAGGAGAAGAACATTTATAAATTCCATATATTTATTTTATTTCACCAAGTACACAACAGTAAGGATAAAAGATAAAAGGTTCTGAGGCAGCAGACACACAGTTCTTACATCAGTAAAACAAGCCTAAGTAGTAATTTGCTCAGTACTCTTTCATGGTAATGAGCTTTTCTATCAAGAGAATGTCTGGTGTTGTTTCAACCATTTTCTTGGAACTGGTATTGCCATTTTCCAAACTGACCACCTGGAATAATGTCTGCAGCAGGCTAAAGTACTACTGCCAACTAAAAGGGCTGGCTTCTGTGATCAGCAAACACAAGTCTCCTGAGAGGAGGAAGCTAGATCTGTCCTTTTTTATTTGAATAATTTCACAATGGGGTGATTAGCTGCTGTTCCTGCTGTATGCAAAGATCTCTCTCTCTTCCACTTCCCCAAAAGCAAGCGAAATCATTACACCCCAAAAGAGCTGTAGGAACTGTGATTCACTTCATGCAATATCTCCATCAGCTAATTATGCAGCACTGTCAACATCCAACTATAAACACCTGAATCTCAAAAACTAAGCAGACTGCCTTAAAATTGGATAGAAGACCACGTAGATACAATTACTTTTCTGTATTTTATGCATAATAACATTGTAAGCAAGTTGCAATTGCACTGCACACAGGTTGGGTTTTTACTTCATATTTTTACATCCAGAGGTTTAGTTGCCCAGAGAAGAAAGCTGAGAGTGTTGTGCTTTCACTTGACTCTGAGACCTGGCACCTTAAGTGGCTTCTGCTGGTGTTCACTGAAAATAGCTACCTGTCCATGGTGGGCAAAGTGTTCAAGAGAAAAATAAGTTAAGGAAACAAATCACATTTATAACAAAATCAGTGGGCTAATCATGTGATACCATAATGTTCATATTATAAAATTACTACTAAATGAGCATGGCATTACTTTCTAATCTAGCTAATGTCCAAGAATTTTACAATGTAACCATTGTGTTTTGAAGGGAGGTACTATCATAATTGCCTAACTGCAGTGTCCCACTAACAGCATGTATTATTGTTGAATTTTAAAAATCCCTGTAGCTTAGAATGGCACTTATTGTTGGAGATTGTAGGGAATTAATTTTGAAGGGAATGAAAACAAACATGTAAAGAAAAATTGCAAGATTTCTAAGAATTGCATCAGGTTCCAACATGGCAACTTTGTACATGAGAGAACAGAACAGTAGACACTGTTTTTATTTATTTGAGAAAAATGCCATGCTTTGATCTCTCAACCATGGGTTTAACACTTTAATTCCTTTCTCTGATTGCTAGGGGAGTGGGAAATGTTACCCATGAGTTGGGTATAAAACAAAGTTGAATAAATCCCCTGCTCAAGAAAAAAGAAGTGTATTCAGTGCTAACTTCCCAGATATCCCCAGCCAAAGTTCAGTTACTTTCTATTTACATTGTATGGGTTTTTCCAAGCTGGAGCTGTCTTTTTATGAAGTGGTTATCACTGGTAGTAGTTTCTACAGCTACTCTAACCCCTGCAAAAATAGCACAAGATGAAACTAAGAATACCCACTCTATTACCCTGAGTTGAAATTGCATTTATTTAAAGCACAGAAAGGAATAAGTTGTATGACACAAAACTGTTGTAAAAAACATCAGCCAAGTAATACTAAAAATGCACAAGAATACTAAAAATGCACAAGAAAGTACACAGTAAATTTAATATTACAATCAGTTTTAAATTTTGATCCATTACAAATCACCCCGTTTTTCCATCTGCATGAGGTAGCTGATCCAGAATGTACTGCTTGTGGGGATCCAGAATGATCTGATTGTTGGTCACATACAGACTTGCATAGATTTGGAACTTCATTGGCTTCCAGGGAGCTGCTATTTCACAAGTCTTACTCAAAACAGAATAAGTATCTTTAGGATTCACTAATATGTTCATA